AAATAAATCCAGAATTGCGTTCAACAGCTAAGAGTAAAAAACATCAACTGTTTTTTATCAAATGAATTCAGAATTGTATTCAACAGCTAAGAGGAAACACTTGTAAAACTTAGGACGATGATTTCATGAGACAAATTCAGTCGCGTCTTCAGAATGCAACTCATTTCATTGTTTTTTTTTGAAAAAATTATTGTTTACTTCTTTTTAATTTTTTTTGCGTTTTGATTCTGCTATCTTTCAACCAACTGTTTTTTAACAAGTAAATTCAGAATTGTGTTCAACAGCTAAGAGTAAAAAACACAAACTGTTTTTTAACAAATAATTTCAGAATTGTGTTCAACAGCTAAGATGAAAAAAAAATTGGTAAACTTAGGACGATGATTTCATGACAAAAAATAAGTCGCGTATTCAGAATGCAACTCAATGCATTGTTTTTTTTTAAATATCATTATGTTTACTTCTTTTTAAGTATTTTTTGCGTTCTGATTCTGCTATCTTTCAACCAACTGTTTCTTAACAAATAAATTCAGAATTGTGTTCAACAGCTAAGAGTAAAAAACACCACTGTTTTTTAACAAATAAATTCAGAATTGTGTTCAACAGCTAAGAGAAAATAATTGGCAAACTTAGGACGATGATTTCATGACAAAAACTTAGTCGCGTATTCAGAATGCAATTCATTTCATTGTTTTTTTTTAATATCATTATGTTTACTTCTTTTTAAGTTTTTTTTGCGTTCTGATTCTGCTATCTTTCAACCAACTGTTTTTAACAAATAAATTCAGAATAGTGTTCAACAGCTAAGAGTAAAAAACACCAACTGTTTTTTAACAAATAAATTCAGAATTGTATTCAACAGCTAAGAGTAAACAATTGGTAAACTTAGGACGATGATTTGATGACAAAAAATTAGTCGCGTATTCAGAATGCAACTCAATTCAACGTTTTTTTAAAAATATCATTATGTTTACTTCTTTTTAAGTTTTTTTTTGCGTTCTGATTCTGCTATCTTTCAACCAACTGTTTATTAATAAAAAAAATTCAGAATTGTGTTCAACAGCTAAGAGTAAAAAACACCACTGTTTTTTTAACAAATAAATTCAGAATTGTGTTCAACAGCTAAGAGAAAATAATTGGCAAACTTAGGACGATGATTTCATGACAAAAACTTAGTCGCGTATTCAGAATGCAATTCATTTCATTGTTTTTTTAAATATCATTATGTTTACTTCTTTTTAAGTTTTTTTTTGCGTTCTGATTCTGCTATCTTTCAACCAACTGTTTTTTAACAAATAAATTCAGAATTGTGTTCAACAGCTAAGTGTAAACACTTGGTAAACTTAGGAAGAAGATTTCATGACAAAAATTTAGTCGCGTATTCAGAGTGCAACTCATTTCATTGTTTTTTAAATATCATTATGTTAATTCTTTCTAAGTTTTTCTGAACTCAAATGAAGATACAACATACACACAACCAAATTATAAAAATTATGATATAAAAATTATAGGATACTATACGAAGAAAATCTATATAAATTTTGAAATACGTTTGATTACAATTGAGGATGAGTTTGGTATGGAAAATAATAGGGGTTTAAGGCTGATTTTGTATTCTAATTCTGGTTTCTAGTTTTCAACCAACTGCTTGAAATTGTGTTTTACAGCTAAGATGAAATACTTGGTATGTAGTAATGGTGGTAGCAGCTAGAATGGTGTTTTGTTGGTGCAATTTGTATCTTTCCAAAATAGTTGCAGATCTAATTGCACATAAATAATTGGGCCTTCCTTCTGATTTCTAATGAGAACCGGGGCGTTTCTGACACAGGTCGATCAACATGACTGATCATTTGTTTGATTGGCTCACGCTTCCAACCGACCAGCAATTCGAGTACAAACGATGGTAGTCAGTCGCTGTCAAAGTAGTGCAGATTGTTCCGAGCAAAGCAAAAAAATGCCGTTTTTTTGGGAGCAGAAGATTGAAATCGAGCGCGAAATTGGCATAAATAAAAAACCTAAGTGAGCCAACAGATAAAAATAAAAGAGTACACAGAGGCAAGCGGAGCTTTGTGTCACTTGCAATACAATAACAAGAATGCCGCTAAGTCGAAAAAACTTGAAAATGTGGAAAAACTTGATCTATCAAAAAGAATAAGGCTAGTTAAGAAAAAACATCAAACACCTATTTCAAATAGAATGGACAATAAAACTCCTAAAAATGTCAGTACGACTACTTCCAAGAGAAGAACTGGAGAAAAAACGTAAGACAAAAAAAACTTTTCAAGAAATTTAAGTCAAGTACACGGTTGCAACACTAGGAATTATCGAGAAAAAAGAGAGCAAATAAAATTTTCAAAACTTTTGAAATTTTTCAACTATCGAAACAATCTATATCACCTTAAAGTTCTTGAATTGCAAGATTTATTTTTTGTTAGCACTTTTTTTAAGTATCCCATCTAAAGAAAACTGGATCATTAGGAACTTTTTTTATTCCGCTGAGAATTTAGAAAAAAAGTGTAATTTTGAAACTAGACATCTTTCGTGACCTTTACACTTTTGCCGTTCAATAAAGGAGTTTGCATTCATTTCAAGTTTGCCTTTAATTTAGACTCGACAATTATTTTTTTCAAATATAATTATTAAATCCGAATCAGAAGAAAAAATTGCACCAGGTTTAAGATTTGAATTTCAAGAACAATTATGATTGACACTTTTTTGTATGATTCACATTTCCTATACATCAAAACTATTGCGTTTTTAGATGAAATTTTTTAGAAAACTAAAATGAAAATAACTTGAAAAAACGACAAATACAAAAATTTCAAGTTCGTTTGAGATGATTTTCATAAACAGCCTTAAAAAGCATTAGAAATAATTTACCTAGAGCCAAATATTTTGCTTCGACCCTGTTTTGAACCTTATATGCAGACGATTTTTTTGCCCTCAAAACTACGCAAGCTAAATTGACAAAAACAATTGTTCAGTCGAAAAATACAACAAAGAAAATACAAAATGGTTTAAAATTAGACGTGATAAATTTACAAATAATAGAACTTTGACTTTAATGAAAACTCTTTCAATCAAAATATAAATGATGCTTTGAAGAACCAGCCAAAGAAAACCATACCAGATAATATAAAAAGCATTTAAAAAACAGAACATAGCCAACAGACAGTGGGAAAAGTGTCAATGAACGCAACGAAGCAGATACAAATACAGAAAAATTTCGAAATTCAAACCAAAAAGTAGATTACTTTAAAACTCTTTCAATTCAAAGAACAAATTATGATGAGCACTTTTTCGATAAAACTAACCCATTTTCAGAAAACTGTTTTATACAGTAACTTTGTTAAATTCCTCCAATTTGCAACCCAATTTATAAAAATGATTTATCAAATCATTAGAACCGGTCACATGAAACGAAAGTGTGCCATCGTACCTTTCCGAGGTAGCAGTGGATGTCATGACTTTGAAACTGCATTCTTGTACACCACGGGACAACCCCTTCATGACTTGGCAGCTTGGGCATTGGCCTTGCTTTGATCCACGACAATCGGTGCTTCACAAAGCAGTGATTGATCAACTGGTGTCTTGGTTTGATGCGAAGTTTGGCCGACTCCATTGGTACGATGAGTCGGTTTGTTCTGATGCTCTGATCAGTTGCGCATGCGAGTGGCAGTTTTGTGTGTTTAGTCTATCCACTGACGTAGACATGTGCCTTATTACAGTCCGGTAAGGGGTAACGTTTTTATTCCGCAGGTAAATCCGAAAATTGAAATCGAAGTCAATCAAGTTTTTCTATTCACTTTTGCTGTTTGATAGTGGAGTTTGCCTTCCTTTCAAAAAAATCAAAATCAAACGGTCAAAAATCAAGTTAGAGCGTGGAAACCTTTGCGAAAAAAATCATCAACACCCACATAAGTCTCAAGTACGTTCATCGACTCTTAAAAATGAAATTAAGACAGAAAATGAGAGTTGGAAGTGTCAACACAGAGGCAAAGCTTCGCTTCGCAAACACTAGCGAGAATACGACAAAAAGCAGCTTCATAAAGTACAATGAGAAATGTATAAATAAGCCTCGAATTAGAAGAATCAAACCTGAGACTTTGAGTTTAGGAGTAACAGCCACGGAAGCTTTATAAGTCCAAAGAGATTAGAAGATTAAACACTTGCCACAAAGAAAGCAGAGAACCGATATTAAGTAATTTCCAATCCTACAGCGAAATTTCCTAATAAGTGAACATTTTTATTGAAGTTTCATTTGCGAGTTAGGTTAGAAAAAAAGATGATTCGTAATAACACACTAAGCTGATGCTAGTGTAATGAACTAAGAAAGGACATAATATTTTGAAAACCTTTTCAAAGAAAAATGAAATGACATCAAAGCTCATTAGAATGGACACTTTCTTGAAAAAATTAAATCAAAATAATCAAACTGGATCAATGAGTAATTTTAATAACTTCGCTGGGATAATAAAAAAAAATAAAATCGACTTTCGAAACTAGAAGTCGCTTAAGTTTTTTCACGCCATTCCAGCTTTTAATATTGGAGAGCGCGATTGAACTAACTTATAACAGATGCATTTGAATTGAACTCAAAAAGGGTATTAAGATCTAAGTGCATTCATAAATGCATTAATACGTATGAATGCACTTCACGACTCATCAAGACTTGTATGAAAACTCATCAAGACAATCATTAGTGCAAAACACATCGAGATTTCAGCCCCTCTCCCACACTATCTATCTCTTGCGTTAAATTCGAGCAATCAATAAGTTTTGACCAATTTTTGACAGGTAGTGTAATTAATTGTGTCGTGACACATTCAGTCATTGTGGCTGGAGCTATCAGCGAATACCCTGAAGCGTAATACCTTAGGGCAAAAATGTTCATTCAAATTATAATTAAATTAAATTGAGGAAACTATTTATATAACTAATGAATAGAATCAATCTTGAAAAATTACGAATATTAAGGGTGCAATTCCTGAAATTAACTGAGGTAGCGACCGCGAGATATTTACTAATGAATCGAATCCTGAACAAGTTCTGCAAAATATTCCGCATTATCTCAATGACCAGCTAGGATTGTTCTTTGATTGTTCTTTGTATTCGGGTCTATCGATATCTCTCTCTGTTAATTACCCAAGAATTAGAGCACCAAAAGGAGATTCATTTTTTACTGTTGTTTTGAGAGGTATGCGAGTCTTTGTCTTTCTGTTTGAACAACAGTGTCAAATCGCCACTAACTCCCCTCCAGATGAAGTGTTTTATCGTGCGCAGATCCCACCCAAGGTCAAGCACCTGAAACACAGAGGCGAAGTTGCACTTCGCATACACAAGCAAAAATATGACCGATAACGCTACTGGGGAAAAACAAGCTTCAATTTAAAGAGCAGTCCATGGAGCAGTAATAACATGAAAAAATTAAACGTAATAAAAATAAAATGAATTTTTTTTTGAATATGCAATATTTTGTAAAAATCATCCCCCCCCCCCCACACGCCATCTTAAGAACAAAGTGATAAAATTCGCTCCTAGTAACAAATCAATTATGGCAAATAAGATTCCTCCAACCAATTTAGAACGATTTCTATAACGGATTAAATCTCCGCTTACGCGTTAATCGCGCGAAATAAATCGCGTGTTAATTGTCCCAAATTGGCAATTTTTAGACCCCCATAACTTCACGAAAATTGATCACAGGTGAAATATCTTTTCAATTTTAAGCTCAGGACAACAAAACTTTTTGAATGATATAAAAAAATCCCGTCAAAAATAGCTAGTTAAATAGTCGAAATTTTTCTGAAGAAAAAAAACCACACCGAGCATAGATATTCCGTTACTTTCGTTACGAAAGTCGGAACAATAACAGTCTGTGTTAAAATCCTTAGCATGGACTGTTTTAAATAGCTGGTTATTGATGAAAATGAACACTTTCAAAATGAACACATTTTATCGCAACAATATTTGCGTTTTCAACAATATTTTACCTAAAAAAAGTCAGTTTGGCTTTGTTTAATCAAACGAGAATTATGAAAAACTTTTTGAAAAATTTTCTTTGTTTTTCTCTTTATCTCAAATATGGTGATCGGAAGTTTTATAATTCTTGGATAGCAATCGGCTAGCTTTGCTAAAACAATTTTAAATGTCATGATTGATGAGCTTTCACACAGATGCGAAGTTGCACTTCGCATACACAAGCAGAAATATGACCGACAAAGCTACTGGAAAAAATTGAATGAGTAAAACTTTGAGTCTACAAAATTTCTTAAGTGACGCACGCCAATTATGTGTCTAGATAATTGCTAAGTGAGTCAAGCCAATAAAGAAGCATCAGTAGTATCAGTCATTTTGAAAAAAAAATTACAACTAACATGCCTCAATTTATAAAGCGGATGCATTTTGGCTAGTATTCGAAAAGTTCATTAAAAAATCCGACCCTGCCCAAATTCCAACCCTCTTATTTTGTTGCTGGTCGCCTTCGCTACCTCTACGCTATAGAACCATGATACATTGAAGCTAAAGTGCTATTCGTTATATAATAGTCCGTGTTAATATCCATAGCATTGTCTGTACTTAATAGCTGGATCAAAATTAACACTTTCAAAATGAACACATTTTGTCGCAGCAATATTTGCGACTTAGGTTGAAAAAAAAGATAGTTCATACTATAACACAAGCGTTGCTTGTGTAATACACAAACTAGCTTCTATATGCGATTCTATGACATTACTTTTATATGGTAGAGATCAATGTTTTTCGGAAAAGAACTATTCTTTTTACTCCTTTCAATAATGGCCTTTATAAAGCGTTGTAACCGACAGCCAAACGAGTTAAAGTTGTGGCCAAGATTTCTTTTTAAAGACAGAACAAATTTTCACTAGCTCAACAATTCATTACACTAGAAGATATAAACTTGGAACACTGAACTGAATTACGTTGAAACAACAAATTATATTAATCAGACTAAACTGACTTAAAGAACACTTAGACGAATTTATGTGGCGAGAGTGACATGGAAAAACTCAAATTGAAGAATTTGAAAACAGTTTGTACAATCTTGCTTGGTAATTTATTCTCGCTTAATAAATGAAAAGGCCAAAATAATTGTTTTATACGGAACTGCAGCATTTTTGGGGTCCAAACATGCAAACTATTACCAAAGTTTTAGAACTCTTTTCAATACCTTTAGGAATAGCAATGCAAAACACAGAGGCAAAGCTGCACATTGCTAACACAACCGAGAAAACGGCAAAAAGTAGCTCTAAAAGCTAGAGAAATTATGAAAAAGGTAAAATTAAGCCTTAAGAAATATAACTTATCCTATTTGACGGAATCGAACCACTGATCTGGAAAGTCAGAGTCTGACGTCCTCCCATCTGCGCTATGCAATCTTGAATCTCTTAACACTCTAGTTGAAACTCCAGTTTTACGCCAACCCCGAAGCATTAACAAATTCCAATAATTTGATCCCTCAAACAAAATTTATGGCAACCAAACAGACGTATAATCAGCCAAAACTATACGACCGAAACAAAACAACAAACATAGCCAACAACCACTTGGAAAAGAGTCAATGAACGCCAGGAAACAAGAAAAAATGAATTAAAAAAAACTTTGTCAACTTTCGAACTAAAACATTAAACCATATGTTGGCTTATAACTTTTTGAATTTCAAAATCAATTTATTACAAACGCATTTATCATAAAACTCAATTTGAGATAACAAGGTCAATAGGTAATGTCTTTATTCTGCTGGTAAACCTGAAAACTTAAATCCATTCAGGAAATTAGAAGTCGATCACGTTTTTCGTGACCTTTATACTTTAGCTGTTCGATAATGAAGTTTTCCTTCCTTTTAATAAAGAAAATGAAATTACCTGAAGAACAAATCAAACGTCAAATACCGGAAAATCGAATTTTAATTATACACTACGCTCGCTATCGTGAAGAACGTGAACTAATTTTAAGACTTTTTCCTGAAAAAACAAACGTATAAAAACATCAAAACCTATATAAGAATCATAACGTTCATCAACTCTTAAAAACAATAAGCAATTAAAATGAAATGTAAAAAAATGGTTTGCAAGCAACACAAAAAAAATCGAATTAAACTTGCACGGAAGATCTCTATTGGCGAGACATTCGATCATTCTGCTACCATGAATGATTCCAAGGGATTTTGTTCTACTAGTTGTTCACCAGAAAGAAAAAGTCTATGTTCGGTAACATTGACTTACCTATCTAATGGTTGTAAAAAGATTGTGCGGTTTGTAAAACCTTGACTTAAATTTAAAAAAAGGAGACAGTGCAATATGCGATTCTATGACATTACTTTTATATGGTAGATATCAATGTTTTTCGGAAAAGAACTATTCTTTTTACTCCTTTCAATAATGGCCTTTATAAAGCGTTGTAACCGACAGCCAAACGAGTTAAAGTTGTGGCCAAGATTTCTTTTTAAAGACAGAACAAATTTTCACTAGCTCAACAATTCATTACACTAGAAGATATAAACTTGGAACACTGAACTGAATTACGTTGAAACAACAAATTATATTAATCAGACTAAACTGACTTGAAGAACACTTAGACGAATTTATGTGGCGAGAGTGACATGGAAAAACTCAAATTGAAGAATTTGAAAACAGTTTGTACAATCTTGCTTGGTAATTTATTCTCGCTCAATAAATGAAAAGGCCAAAATAATTGTTTTATACGGAACTGCAGCATTTTTGGGGTCCAAACATGCAAACTAATACCAAAGTTTTAGAACTCTTTTCAATACCTTTAGGAATAGCAATGCAAAACACAGAGGCGAAGCTGCACATTGCTAACACAACCGAGAAAACGGCAAAAAGTAGCTCTAAAAGCCAGAGAAATTATGAAAAAGGTAAAATTAAGCCTTAAGAAATATAACTTATCCTATTTGACGGAATCGAACCACTGATCTGGAAAGTCAGAGTCTGACGTCCTCCCATCTGCGCTATGCAATCTTGAATCTCTTAACACTCTAGTCACCAATAAGGCGGATAAACGCATGCTATTGAATTGTCAATGCTATGCCGCTAAAGTTTCTTATTTCCAAGTTGAGTTGAAAAAGCAGATTCCTAATATACAACTATGCTTGCTAGCTAGCTTGGGTAATCAAGCGGTACATACAAAGACAAAAAGACAAAACTTGGGTAGACGACCGTTGAGCTGAAAACAAAATTTTGAGCCATAAAAATTTTGAAACTCCAGTTTTACGCCAACCCCGAAGCATTAACAAATTCCAATAATTTGATCCCTCAAACAAAATTTATGGCAACCAAACAGACGTATAATCAGCCAAAACTATACGACCGAAACAAAACAACAAACATAGCCAACAACCACTTGGAAAAGAGTCAATGAACGCCAGGAAACAAGAATAAATGAATTTAAAAAAACTTTGTCAACTTTCGAACTAAAACATTAAACCATATGTTGGCTTATAACTTTTTGAATTTCAAAATCAATTTATTACAAACGCATTTATCATAAAACTCAATTTGAGATAACAAGGTCAATAGGTAATGTCTTTATTCTGCTGGTAAACCTGAAAACTTAAATCCATTCAGGAAATTAGAAGTCGATCACGTTTTTCGTGACCTTTATACTTTAGCTGTTCGATAATGAAGTTTTCCTTCCTTTTAATAAAGAAAATGAAATTACCTGAAGAACAAATCAAACGTCAAATACCGGAAAATCGAATTTTAATTATACACTACGCTCGCTATCGTGAAGAACGTGAACTAATTTTAAGACTTTTTCCTGAAAAAACAAACGTATAAAAACATCAAAACCTATATAAGAATCATAACGTTCATCGACTCTTAAAAACAATAAGCAATTAAAATGAAATGTAAAAAAATGGTTTGCAAGCAACACAAAAAAAATCGAATTAAACTTGCACGGAAGATCTCTATTGGCGAGACATTCGATCATTCTGCTACCATGAATGATTCCAAGGGATTTTGTTCTACTAGTTGTTCACCAGAAAGAAAAAGTCTATGTTCGGTAACATTGACTTACCTATCTAATGGTTGTAAAAAGATTGTGCGGTTTGTAAAACCTTGACTTAAATTTAAAAAAAGGAGACAGTGCAATGTACAATGACACCTAATTAGAGCGCTCAAACTAACCACGTCGTTGCATATTAGCTCAAGTGCGTCCACTTCCTCATTCATCTCTTCTGCAGTCAACTGAGAGCCCCCATGATTGCCCCCCGTGGAATTATTTGCACTGCCTCCTCCCCCATGAGTGCTGTAGTGGTCTTGAGCAGACGACTCTGGTCGCAACACTTTCTCCACCACGTGCTCTAATATCTTCCGCACAGGCAACAGGTCGTTTGCGGAAAGACGATCTCTATTATAATTACAGAATCACTCTTGATGAAATGAGATCAGTTAACACTTAACTAAAGCTGAAAATTAGTTGTCGTAGGAACCATTAGAAGAATTTCAAGCGCCGAAGGTTTTGATCGGCGATGTAAAGAGTATCATCAAAAAATCACATGGGCAACTCACTTTTTGTTGTTGTAAATCTTCAAATTGCAGCTTGGGTGAGGCAGCAGAAAAAATGCCAGCTTGTGAAATTTTGGTGCAATCATCTGAAACAAAACTTACGTATGAACACAAGAAATTTTTTAAGCCAGCTACGGTAGTTTGAGCGAAGACTCTATACTCGATGTATTTTGATTTCAATTGAGGATTTTTTACGTTATAAAGAAGTTCCCCATTTTTGCAATAAGGTGAGAAATAATTAACAAGATCCGACAACTGGATTTAAAATGGGCGACTTTTTTTATTTGCTGAATTCAGAAAATTAAAATACAATTTTGAAACAGTCAGAATTGATTATAAGCTCCATTTGCCAATTGTGAAAAAAATTTCTGAACAGGCAATTTTCGGTTTTTTTAGCAGGTGAATTACCTCTATTACAATCTCCTTGATCCATTCTGGCAGTGCATCCTTCAGAGTCTGGGACTCGATGTCTCTCTCACAACTGGGGATGAGGAATCTCGCAATCGCCTTCCCAGACGGCATCTGACAGAACACAACACAATACACACTTATGTTAAAATATGGGTCAGACCATCTAAGTCAGTGAGCAGCCATTTTTGCATTTTCAATTTAAAGAGATATTTACTTTGAAAGTTCGCCAGTTGAAGCGACTATTTCAATCAAAAAGCTTGATTTCATCTTCGATGGTCTTACACAAGGACCTCTTCGTTCAGAATCTGTGCGGAACAATAGTGGTTTAAATCCAAACCTCGTTTATAATGAGCACAGTGTGATCAGGAAGGGAGAAGAAATTGTTTCCGAGGTACTTCAGCTGAATTCCACCTCCCAGTGCTGCCGCCTCACTCTCGTTACTGTCTCGTCTTCTTTCTCCCTCGGTGGCGGACGCCGAATTGGGTGCAAACTGTCTGCCAGAGTTTTCCTGCTCAGCCGCCGCAGCCAATTCCATCGTGATCTTCATGGCGCCACTTTCCGGCCACCGTTCGAACAGCGCTTGTAGCATCAGACAGGCAAAATGCACTGCAAAAAAAAAATCATTATATGAGTTAATGCGTGGTCGGGAATCTATCGTGCAAAGTACACAGTCGAAGCGGAGCTTCGCCCACTTGCGATACATCACAAAAAAAGCATGGCGAGCGAGCCAAAAAATGAGAGTCACGACATCGAATCTTGAAAACCAAGAAAAAACACTGAATCTAGCAAAATTTTCAGTTCAAGATTTTGCTTCATTGTTATGCAAGCATGTCGGTAAATACCATTGCCTGCGCTAAATTCGCATGAAAACAGCACCTAAGCCAACAACATAAGGTTAGACACTCTCGATCAAAAATGACGTCATAAAAATTAAGAAAGCGTGAAAAAAAACCGGTTTTGGTAATTAGTACAAAAAAGGAAAAAATCGATAAGAACGGGCATCGAAATGCAATCATGCTCAAAATATTTCAATTGGGAGTCCGGGGAGATCAATTCGAAGAACAAGGTTTTCTGCTGATCTAAAATGTAACTAATATTTACACAGACGAAGCTCTGCTTCACAAACAAACGAGCGACAGAAAACAGCCTTAAAAATTAAATGAGAAAAATTAAAAATCAACTGCGATTTAGTTGAACTTTACATATGGGTCAGATTTAAAAGTATGACCTTACTGGCCATTGAAATCAACGCCTTAGTCACCAATAAAGCAGCTACAGATACTATTGAATTGCACATGCTATACAGCAAAAATGCCACCACAAGCAAATGTAACTACCGTTCATTGCGCATCGAAACGGCCAACTGAATAGAAACCTCAGCTTTAAACTAAAATTCACCAATGCAAGTACCCACACTTCAGACAAACTACTTCGTACGAGACCCAAAATACCCAATCTCCCTCTTTCAATTAGCCCAACTTTTTCACCGCAACAGACTTAACATGCCATCATGGATATCAAAACTTCCTGATCCCTCAGCCCGGATGGTCTATCAATATCTACAACAAACACTTCGGTCTTTTGACATTTCAACAATTAAACTCTCCCGCCGAGCAAGAAACAAAAAACTTGGATTACTTTTGACCCGACTTAGTACTGCCACTAGCTGCAAACAGTCCGCTGACAAGTGCGCAGAATAAGAGTCCTGAAAACCATAGCATGTTCAACCTGGGGAAAACTTAAGAAACTACTTGCAAATTACAAAGCCCTCATGCTAGATTACGTCTCCACTGCATGGTACCATCCTGCCAGAAACACCTCATCTCCTGCAGGTTACCCAAATCAAGCTCTTCCGGTTATTATTAGTTCTACCCTCATGAGTTCCACTGCCCATCTGAACAGTGAAGTGTAAATACCAAGCTTCAAAAACGACCACTCTCTCTCAACTTCAGCTTTTTCAGCTCTACCCTCCGTTCCCATTCCCCTATTTTTTCCACACTCACCCTTTCCACCTCACCAATTACTCCCCTCTATTCTTGACAGCTTCAAAGACGAAACCTCTAACTTGTCTAATTAATCTTGCAACGAAAACCCTCCCGTAGATTTCAATAACCGAGATGAGGTATCCTTTGTTTCAAAATATTTTAAACCTATTTTTAAACTAAACCACCCTCCCTCAAAAGTTTTATGTATCCCTTCTCCCAAATTTGACCCCTCAGAAGAATCGGTCTTCAGAAATAAACCGCTGTAAGCTCTACCAAAACCGGTCCGGCTATAGCCGACTTTCAAAAACTTACATTTCCGGACTATACATATCCCTTTCTATCTATTCCCAACATGCTCCCCTTTTTATCTATTCCCAACCTGCTCCCCTTTTTATCTATTCCCAACCTGCTCCCTTGCCCCCACGCTACTTGCAACCTTCTCAAATGGTCCCAAAACCTATCCCATCTTTTCCCTGCAGACCTGGTGCTTTGTCCGATGGATGCCGCGAAGTTTCTATACCCGGAGACGTACGAGCCGAACGTGATCCCGGCAAACAACAATAACAAAAGGAGTCTCTTCGCTAGGTCACGATCGCTTGAAAATCCTGAAACACTAGCTGCCAATTTATAGCAGAAAACAGATGCTATGAACTTTCTAAATCTACTAAGTCGTTATAGCAAAAATCCTACCAAAATAATAGAGTCAAACTATTACACTACGCTCGCTAGCTCGTTTAGTAAAATGACTATTAAAAATGATTCGTTGGTCAAACTCTGCAAAGAAAGTTAGGAAAAAATGACAAACTTTTTTTGACAAAATTTCAAATCGTCTCCTGCTTTAAAAATTTCTTTCACGCATTCATTTGCTCTAATTTTCAAAAACAGCCAATAGACAGCTAGAAAAGAGCAATGAACGCAAGTAAACAGAAAAAAAAACAATTTGTTGAAAAATCACAACTTTCGAATCTCAAAGAAAAAAATAGATGCCCTTTAAGCTCTTTCACTTCTAGAACAATTTATGCTTGGCGCTTTTTTGATAACATTAACCCAGCTTGAGATAATTGAATCAATAGGTATAGTTTTCATTCCACTCGAAATCTAAAAATTAAATTCCACTTTCGAAACTAGAAATTTTTCACGTTTTTTCAAGCCATTTCCACGTTCGTATTTGGAAAGTGCTATTTACGTCACTTTCAGAAGATGAATTTCAATTGAACTCAAAAAGTGCATATATACTTAAGTGCGTTCATAAATGCATCAATAAGTATGAATGCACTTCTGTAGTTATTAGAGACTTATGAGGTTTTTCCTTAAAAAAATCAGCAAGACCTATGAAAGAGTCTTCACTACGTTCATTACTTTTAAAAGACAAAAACAAAACAGAGGCTAAGTTGCATTTCGCATACACAAGCAAAAATATCGCCGATAGCGCTACTGGGAAAAACTGAATGAGTAAAACTTTGAGTCTACAAAATTTCTTAAGTGACCCACGCCAATTATGAGTCTACAGAACTGCTAAGTGTCGCAATCCAATTATGACGCATTAGCACTACCAGTCAATTTAAAAAAAAAGAAATACACCAAGTAACATGCCTCAGTTTATAGAGCGGACGCATTTTCACTAGTATACGAAAAAGGTCATTAAAAAATCCGACCCTGTCCAGGTTCGAATCCTCTTATTTTGTTGCGGGTCTCCTTCCCTACCTCTACGTTACAGATCCATGACAACTTGAAGCTTAAGTGCTATTTGTAATGTAATAGTCTGTGTTAATAACCTTTCCTTAGCATTAGCTGTACTTAATAGCTGGATATTGATCAAAATGAACTCTTTCAAAATGAACACTTACATTTGCGACTTTTGCGTGTCCAGTCATTCAGCTAAGTACCCTTTTCTATTTATTAGACTTAAGACTTTTTGTGATAACCCATGTTCGAGAATGGTAATTGATAACAGGTCTACTGTTAAGAAACAAATCATCAAACGCTCTCGATTTCTCTCTCATCTCCTATGAGATACTTAGGATTTGGTACGACACTCCTGCAATGTCCCCTCTTAGTTATCTTGCCTACTTTAACTCATGTTGCCTTTAGAGAACTAGTCCGGGACAATAGAAATCTTTGAATTTGAACCTTTATCACTTTCTGGATTGTCTCCGTATCTCTGCTTCATGTCGAGTTCCTTCGCCGGGACCCAAGACTGCATGCAGTCCACTTCATCAATGTGTACACACAGATAGCCCGTCTTCAGATCAACTGAGAACCAAGATGGGACGAAGATGAACTGGAAGTGGTTCTTGATCTCCTCGTCAAAAGAGGACACTGGTCCAATTACTGAATGTTTTACTCCTGTCAGCACGTCCCATTTGGCTACAACTCCTTCTGAGTCTTGAGTCAAAACGTATCGCTTATTATTCAAAACATGGTAGCGAACAAGAGCTGGCTTTCCTGAAAAAAAAAAATGACCAAGCAAATGATTCATGTTTGAGCTCAATGATTGAAATGATTACTCGAAATTTTACCTTCAATTACGTAGCTCGCTTTTATGTTCTTGAACACATACGTTGGTCTAGGTTGATCTGAGTTAGTGTTATCTAGAATTGATTCATACTCATTTTCGCCATCATCAGCGTAATGTGTCGTTGTGTAAGTCTCAGATGGAATATCCTAAAAACAATAACACGTCAATTTAAAGCTTCTTAAAAAAGTCCTAATCAAAGTTCTGGTCACTAACCCACTTATTGATATGTGAAGACGTTGTAGACACCCACAGACTTTTCATGTTGACGTCTCCAAATTGCATGCTTAGAATTGGTCGCTTCTCTTGAACAACTTGTCGCGATGTGAACAAGCTGTCAGCTGATGACGTATCGCTAGTGTTCAAAGAAGGAGTGAGATCTGTTTCAAAGACAGCTCCATCTCGTCCCCCAGAATAAACCATTGTAAACGCTGGATCCGCCTAAAAAACAACAACAAACAATTACAGAGGCCAAGCGGAGCTTCGAACCACTTGCGATACAAGCAAGCATATCATAACGAGCTAGCAAAAAATGAGACAGAAGTCACTATTCAGAAAAAAAATCGGAAACTGTAGAAAAAAAAACTTAAATGTGATACATTTTCATAAGCTTAACTCAACTAATGTTCAATTTCATTCAAACAAAGTCGACAAAGCGCACAACAGCGTTAAATCAGCATTAAGTTTTTTCGAGCAACCATTAAGCCAAAAAAACCACCCGTTGAGCCGAAAACGAAATTGCGATGAAACACAAGGTGCCCAGCTTAAGCTGGAGATACCTGTGCCATATTTTTAGAACATGTACTAATTTGGGACGAAATGAGTAATTAAATAAGCAAATTGGATTTTACCCGACTTTTTTTAAAACTAAAATAAGGGATTAACCGCTTATGAAGGGGAATTTCTTTCTACCCATTTTTTGAACTGAACACGGTATCAAATAATTTGGCACGTTAAAAGAATGCAAAAAATGGACTTTTCCTAAGGTCATACCGTCTTTTCTAGGCAAAAGAAGGAATATGGTGTGACCATTTTTGCAGGCAAAATCTTTGCACAGTTCTTCTGATTGAACCATAAGCCTCATAAATGGCGGGCAAATTTTGAGACAAAAAAGCTTCAAAAACTATCCAAATCTCACACTTTTGATTTTTATTAAGTTATTTGAAATTTTGTTGAAATATTAGGGCTCCACTGCCTTAGCAGGAAAAATTCTCGCAACCTGTTCCTTTGATTGAACCCTTGATTTCAAAGTTGGCAGGGTAGTTTCTAAGAAAAGCCAACAAGTTTCCAAAAAAAGGTCACACATATGAAACATAGCCAACCGTCAGTTTGAACTGAGTCAATGAACGCAAGGAAACAGAAAAAAATACTGGCATAATTTTTGAAAAAACTTCTACTTTCAAACTTCAAAGAACGTAGCCAACAGACCGTTGGAAAAGAGTCAATGAACGCAAATAGTAAAAAAAAAATGAATTGTTTTTCGAAAATTCAACTTTTGAATTTCAAAATTAAAATATATGGCCTTGAAGCTCTTTAAATTTCTAAAACAAAAAATTATTGGTAAGTTTTTGATTAAAAAAACTTAACCCAATTTGAGAGAACTGGATCAAAATGTAATACTTTTATTCCAAAAAAAAATCCCCTTAACACTTTTGCTACTCGATAGTGGAGTTCGCCTTCCAAATGAACTGAACTTCAAAAATAACCAAAAGCAACCCGCCAAAAATCAAATTTGAGCGTGAACACTTTTCATGATTTTTTCTTGAAAAAAAAACAACAAAACAAGGATAGCCGGTTGCTGTGCAAGCAGCACAAAATGTTCCGAACAGCCTTAAAAATGCAAAAATTTGTGTCGCTTTTTCTGCGTGTTGTGATAAAAAAAATTGAACGAAAAAATAAAACTTAGGCATATTCGACATTCATAGTAAAATTCGCCTATTGCAAATTTTCATGCAGAAAATTTTGAATTTTGTTTTTGATTCCCAAATTGGCGCTAAAAAACTCCAAGAAGTAACTTTACTTGAGTGAAAATAAATTGTCACGGCTTAAATTACGCGTAAATGTGCGCCTGCTTAGCATCACCTTAAAAGCTTGAAAATAGACCAAAAAAATTGAACTGGTTTTTTTTTCGTTACAGAAAAGTTTTTCAAAATTTTTATGTCGTTCGAATCACGACTGAAAGGGCTTTAACATGATTTATCACTCGACCCATTCCTATGATTTATTTGTGGAACCTGATTATGGGTGAAAACAAAAAAAAAGAGAAAAAACTAAAACACCCGAAAACAAAGTTCCTACTCATTTTTAAAATGGTCGGAAAAAAACAATCAAGACCTATATGAGAGTCTTCAGTGCGTTCATAGACACTTTAAAATAAAGCCTACAAAACGAAAAAGTAAATGAAGGATTTGATTCATACCAAAAGACACCAGACACTGTCTTGATGAATTTTAAAGGTTTCAATGCATCTTTGCTCTCCCAGACACCAAAGTTTGATTAGCCCATCTGAGGAGCCTGATAGAACCTGGAGATTAAAATTTCAAGCTAAGGTGTTAGCTGATTACGAAAGAAATCTGGCGAAACTTAACGAGACACATCGGTTGCAACAGTTTGAATCTGACAAACCGTTTAACTTCAATCTGCCGCACCTGCTATGTCACTCGCAACTTTCGCCTGACATAATATTTTTCGACCTACTTTTGTACCGTCTGGAGAAACAACTAAAGACTTGACGATGTTGGAATGGCCCTTCAGCTTGAGGTTAAAATTTTGTGTTCTCGGGTCCCAGACAAGCAACGACTAAAGTCAACAAAATTCCTTTAAAGATGAACGAAATTATGAAATTTCCCATCGAACAATTAAGTGTAACTGTATGTTTACCTTGTCTGAAGTTCCTGCTACACATACGGTTCCAGTGGGGTTCATACTTAGACTGTATATTGAATCGGTAGCGCCCATCAAATTTTGAGCTTGAACAAAATTGAACTAGTTTCAATCATTCGTCTTAGCAATTGACTGACATATGTGGTTACGCACTGTTAATTGTATTATTTGTCGCTGTCAGTTGCAGCAGTTTTCCAACATCCCATAAAAATATTTGTCTGTCGAAGCCAGCACTTGCAACTAGCTCTCGATCACGTCCGTATGCCAAACACTTCACATAATCTTTATGGGTCCTTAGAGTAGACATGCAAAACCCACGACTCACATTCCAAACCTTCACGGTGCAATCCGAGCTCGCAGAAACGACTAAATACAATTGTATCTCTCTTCTCATTTTTTACGCAATAACTTATTTACGCAATAATAACGGCTGTTCTACTTACTGTTTTTACCATTCATACATAAAACAATGTCATTCACCCAATCGCAGTGATGCTCCATCGCTTGAGGGACGAGCTGGTTTTTGGACAGCGCTGTTGAGCCCACGCTCCATGAACGGATGACGCTATCTCGCCCTGCGCTATACAGCCGCTTTTCATGAGGATCGAATTGCAGCGCATTGACACCATTGTGGTGATACTTGATATCATTTTGATCTTCGCGAATAATAACTGTCACCTATCAAGTTAATCGATTAGAAACTCTAATTGAAGAACAAATTATTTAAAACATTTAATACCGTTCGCCTTTGGCGCTGTGCTCCAGAGCGATTGTAACCACTCATCGTTGCAATTCTTAGTAGATTACATTATCATTATCTACAACTAAACTTTGAGGTTGAGCAAAAATTTTGAACATTTAAAAAATTGCAAACTTCTTGTTCAGCATAGTGCCATTTCGAAAAAAACGTTATACTTTATTAGGAATTGAACGTTGCCTGCTAGAGATATATTTACTTTTGACAACCTTAAATAACATAGACAAAAACAATTAGAGAGATGTTAATGAACAAGAAACTGAAGTAGTAGTAGTAGTAGTAGAGGCTTTAGGGCTCATTGGCCCAGGGGTGTCAACCCTTCAGTTTTCAGCTGGCATGAGTTTTTGGTAGGGGTTACACGATCCACAGGAACACAGTACACGCCAGGTGCATGTGTCTAGCTGATTGTAACTGTTTTCAAAGTAGTTGAAGTAACTTTCTGTCAGTTGTTTTTTCGTCGGGTTGTCGCGAAACTGTTTGTGGAGTATATTGAAAAGTTTCGGGGCTCTCGTCCAGAAATTTTCGTCTGTTTTGCTGATGCGGTTTTTGTTGAGCTCGAATTCGCTGCATTGTCTCGTAGTGCTTTCTCTCAGTGATATTGGAATTGAATCTTCACTGACGCTGTATTTACCGTCCATGACCGATTGAAGAAACAGTATATCATGGAGTTCGATGTACATTGAGAGTGGTAAGATCTTCAGGGTACATAGTCTCTCTTTGTATCTGATTTTGCTTGATTTTGCGTAGTGAACAATTTGCTTTTTTTAATACTGTCTAGTCAAGACGTAATTCAATTTCTCTCTCTCTCTCTCTCTCTCAATTTGCGTTTTTTGTTTGATTTGACAGCTTTGAAGCTCTAGAAAAAGCCCGAAAAATATACTTTCTACGTCAGCTTAGAGAGTACGGGTATGCAGACAAGTGGCTTACAATTGTTATTTGAGTCTTGGATTACCAGCCGTCAAACGTATTGTTCCACAAGAAATTTAAAATGTTAATTCAAACGTTTTCGCACATTTTGTGCATCATCAGGATTAAATTTTTTTTACAATATTTACAGAACGATCAAAGACCTGAAAATTGAGAAACATGTCTTAAAATGCTGTCCAATTCATTAATAACATTTTCCTGTAAATTTCTGAGATTTTCAAGTTTTTCGTTCTTTCATGGTTATAACATTTCGATTTGGGAAAATTTTGATTCTGACATCGGTTTGAGTCGGTTTTTTTACTTTTAGCCATGTTATACATAGACTATAATTTAAGTGTTAATTCCCGGCTCCTGAATTCATCGCGTGTGTTGATCCTTTTTTTTTAATGAAAAAGGAGACATATGAGAAGAAACTGTTAGATTTATTACAGGCAGAACAATTTGTAACATTCGCCCAAATATCACACAGCGACGGAGCGTAGAAAAAGTACCTATTAACGACTGGCAGGCGTCAGTTACCTTAATCCTACTCGTTTTTCACCGTCTCGACCTTGCCAGTTGATTTTCTGGTCTGTTTAGGGCAAAGTAAAAAGTTACCATTTTTAGGCCATCAGTCAAACGACTTTTGATCAGCTTTCGTTTGCATGCGAACACAACCACATAGCTGAGTCTCGGATCCTGAGACTGTCATTAAAAACACGGCTCGAACAACCTATTTTTATATGTTTTTGTGTGACAGTTTTATATTAAATCCATTGGAGATGGATTGACCCTTTCCCTTTTTCTATCTACTCATGCTCTAAAATATTAAATAATAACGGTGTTAATTAAGATCTAGGACATTACAGCAACTGTTGAAGTTAGTTTACCCAGTCCCTTCACATATAACAGTCTCTGGGGGACCAAGCCTCCGCTCCCGTGATTTTCTTGAGATAACACTCTTATCTCTTATATTTCGTGTCCCGGGAGGGTTCCGTGGTATTTCTCTTCCCCCCACTGAAGCCTCCGTCTCCACAAATATCTGTCGCTAAGGTCCTTATCGTGTGTTTTTGCCACGATAAGAGGCTCCCTGTTTTTCTGTCTCTGATACAACTGTTCTTCACAATCTCTATCGTGGTTCTCATTTTCGTCTTTTTTATTCAAAATGGCCGTCTTTTTTCTATTCCTCAGAAATGTTCTTCTTCCAATCGAAATTTTAAAAATAAAAATTCTAGAACATTCTGACCCTCCGTCGCAACACTTTTTTGTTCATAAGGCCTTTAGTCACATTTTTTTCTGTCGCGGGAAGGATATGCTGTGTCATCTGGCAGAATGGCACATACTCCCCGGACAAGTCTCCATCAATGTCCCTATTGATCGCATAACACCGGGTTATCGTCAAGTAGTTATCCAGTTTTCAGTAACCAATCTTACAAATTGCATAAGAAATTGAAATTTATCTACTCCACCTCAACTCACTACGTGTTCACAAATGGCATCGTACTACATCTCACTGCCTTTCAACATTTTCACAAAATTTGCACCATGAGGAGTGTCCTAGATAAAATTTCTTTTCTGACTACTTACGTCATCTCGCCAAAAAACTTCTTTTCGCCTCTGATTAAAAAGTGGGACGTGGCACGGCCACGCACCCGTTAAAATTAACTTAACTTCACTCACCAAGTATAATCAGTCATTTATGCGGTCCTTTCCATATTAAAACTAAGAAACTCTGTGGCTAGGAAAGTTATTGAGTTACCCACCCTTCTCGAGCGAGTTTACTCAAACTTACCATGTCGCCACACAGTGAATTTGTGTCTTACACAGGTTAAAAACTTCAGTCGTGAATAAATAGGTAAATATACTCACCTATGTTCCTTATATACATACATAGATAGTAGTAACTAAAATCAACAATTTCAACAATTTTAACAATTGCAACATTTTCAAAGTTTGGTCTGACCAAACTAGATCAAAACAAAAAGTTTAACAAGTTCAATAATCAAAACTTGGTTGATTGGTTTAAGTTTTAGCACACAAATACAATCAAGTTTTTCTCTCCTTCTCTTCTCTTCTTTGGTCATCTTCACTCCATCATTTCTCCATCCTGATGTTCAGCGTCACTGTCTTCCAGAACTTTCTCTAACATGTCCAGAGAGTTGCGGGCCGTGCCCCAACCCTCCTGTTCCAACAGCCTCGGTTTGCAACAAGGTAGCAAGTCCACATTCACCTTCTGCTCCCGGTTCCTGCAAAAGCTGTTGTGAAGACACAGGCTCACGTTTCGTTCTAGGTCAGCTCTTAAGACCTCTTTCTTCTCATCTTCAGTAACACAAGGCGTTCCAGCTACCCGCTTCACCGCTGTGGTGACCGCGTTTCTGTGCGTCAAGAATGCTCGTTTATAGGCTCCTGGTCCTATATCTAGCTGGAAAGATTGATAGGCTTCCGTGTTCCTTGACATGTGACGCTTCGCGCGTTCATACATCCAAGATGTCATCACTGCAGGGAACCAAGGCATCAATCTTTGCCTTGACCATATTCTTTCAATGGCTTTAGGTATTCTCAGAACCTTGCAGGTGGTTCTGAAAAGATCCAACTCACAACTCATTTTTACGTTGCTCAGCTGTTCAGGAGTCGGCACGGCCGTCTCCTGCTCACTTGTGTCCGCGTTAGCCTCCAACCATCTCACTGCTAGCATGGCGCTAACCACCACGATTGACATTTGTTGATTCTGATCGGGCAACCCCGTGGAGTACAACTCCTCCACGTCCCATACTAGGATCAGATTCCCGCGTTTGGGGTACCACAACGTCTGCGCCAAGCAGTGGCAAGGATACTCCCCATGGGTTCTCACTATGTTCCTTCGGGTCCGATACCCTGAGGCTCCCAGCAACGGTTCCACTTCCATCAGAATTCTATGTAAATCGTCTTTCTCTTCTATGGTGGGGAATTCAGTAGGTAACGCTCCACTCGCTTTCTGTTTCTGGAACTCACTCACGTTACCTTCGTTCAGTCTCATGAACTCTTCACCCACAACGTCTTGCAACTCGCCTTCGGATCTCTTCGGGACTGCCCGAAAGATCTTTGCCAACAAGTCATATGACCTTTCTGACATTCTGGCCAACCTCACGCACTTTGGCACAGAGAAAAGTTGGTCAACCAACACTTGTTGCGTCCTCGCATCCATCACTACCATGTGCGTAGGATACTTGCCATTAAAATATGGCGCGGAGCTTGAACCCACCATATATTTTGAACCAGTAGGTCTGTGATAGGCTTCACTATCCTTCAGATTCATTTCGTTTTCTAGGGCTTCTCGCCAGCCTCCAATCTTTTGCTCTGTCTGTAATGCTCCAGGGAATATTTCCACGCTGAGGGACGTCACTAGCTCATGGGCACGCTCCAAGCGCTCGAGCGATTCTATCGAACTCGTCATGCTACAAAATCCCAAGGCTGTGATCAGGTTTTATGTCCGTCACCCCATGGCAGTCTGCGACCAACTCCATGGCACTCTTATCTGACATGCTCAATCTTCCATACAATCGTGCCAGTTGTCGATGCTGCTCGCTCAGCGTAATCAGGCAGTGTCCCATGTTACAAACATGTCCTTCCATCCCACTGTGTTGAGCCAAGCACGTGCCTTGCTTCAACCAATTACTCGATGTACCTTCCTCGGACAGCTCAGTGGATGGGTTGCTCTTCCTCTTCGTCAATCTCATGGCCAGCAGGTGATGTATCATGGCCAGATCATGTAAACTCGCATCATCATCCCGTTCTAACATGACATCCGCGGTCATGTCCCAGATTAAGCCTGCGTTAGGATGGGGACACCAGGAAGGCTTCATGAGTTCCCACATCACTACTAGACTAGTTTTCAAGGGACCGTCCCAAGAACCACAATCAAAACTCACTTGCCCTTTTAGCTCGGGAATTGAGGGTTCGACCACTCGTTCTTCCAAAATAATTCCCAGCTTGGGTTGTTCCACCATCAGCATTCCGATTTCCTTAATTCGTTCAACCCAGAAGTTGAGCACTGTGACTTGCTCATAGTCGAAGTATGCTTCCCTGGCTTCTTCGTTCACGAAGGGATTATACGCCATCCCCGGTATGCCAGACACATACTGGAACGACTTCAGTTTCCCTAGTGTTGCAAACTCCTTTTGTCCT